TAGCTGCTTCTGTGCCAAGAACTGTTCTGTACAAGGAAGAAAAAAATCAAAGTAATTTGAAGACATTATTATTTTTAAATGGCATTTCTGTTAAGATGGTTGGAATGTCTTTTTGCTAGCTCACCTCTCCTAGAATAGTTTTAACCTCATCTCAGTTTGTAGAACAAATTGCAGAGGAGAGAAATGTGGTTCGTGGTAGTCAGGTTCAGGGCTTGCGGCTTTCACAACCCTTCTCCTTTTTTGTTTCCAACCTTTGACCTTCACAGAACTTCATTTTCCATTGGTTGCTTGTCCTCCGTGTTTTAGACTGAATTCTCAGTCCGTGTGCTGTCTGTCACCTCTGCCCATGGCTGTCCCATCCTCACGGCCTCTCACAGCTTGACTCGAACTTCTGTGATCTTCTCTAAAGGCAGTTTCTATTGAGCCCCCTGATGGTACTTTGATGTTAGAATCAGACCCTATGGCTCCAGCCAGGATGTTCATAAGCACAGGCTTCCCCAGGATTCTTTGTTTCAGTAAAGGACGTGATGGGAAGGAAAGATAAGTATTGGATCAGAAAGTAGGAGTCTGACCATGGTCTTCACTGCTCTGAACTCAATTTCTTCTTTGCTGAGTGCATGAACTTGGGCAAATGCCGTGCATTCTCATGTCTGTTTTTACTGTTTGTTGTCTCAGTCACAGGAAGACGGTGTAGATTGGCTGAGGTGCATATAAGGTGCATAGGGTAGTGCCTGATACCTCTGGGAAGCTCACTACCCTCTTCTCTTACTTTCTTCATTTGTGTCTTCCAGGAGGAGTGGCTGGGAGAATGTTCAGTTAATAAAAACTAGCCCGCCCTTGTCCAAGGCTAGCAGGCACTTACAGCATTCTTCAACTTCACCCTTAGTCTGGTTCACGCCTTCCTTCAACTCTTACACACCTTCAGTTCCCCACTGAAAGGGACCACACCTCCCCCAAAGAAAGGGGAATTTTTTTTAAGCCCATGAACACTTCTGCTGCTCCTGTGGTCCCTAAAGCCACCTTTCAATGCTTAACTGGTGAGCTCAACTTCTGCAGAAGGCTCCCTAGCTCGTCTTCCTCACCCCTGCCCAGAAGTCCCTAAATGTTACTGACTGATGCCTCACTTCACCCTTCTGACTGTTTAAATTCTCCTTAGCTAAATCTGACTCCATCTTCAAATTTACACTTAACAACTAAAGATATTTCGAACTCCCTTGACTAGGATAGCCAGCCAAAGAAAATATAATACAATGGGTACATATAATTTTAAATATCTCAGTGGCCATTAGAGGAGTAAAAAAAGGGAAGTATTTAAGAAGCCACATAACAGTGAAAAATAATATATATTGTTTAACTCAACATATCCAAATATAATTTTGATAGATAATGAATACAAAATTCCAAGGCAATGTTTGCACCTTTAAAAATACCCAAAGCACACAATTTCTGATATGCAGTTTATATTCACAGTGTTTTTCGGGTTAGACTAATTATAGTCCAGCTAGTGTGCTGGTGGTGGCTACTCTATTGGGCCACTATCTTGGTAGAAATGTTCTTTGACTCTTCTTTAATTTTTGAGATAACTCTTGATTTTCGTTAACATCCCAGTCCTTCCTTCCTTCCTTCCTTCCTTCCTTCCTTCCTTCCTTCCTTCCTTCCTTCCTTCCTCCCTCCCTCCCTTTCTTCCTTCCTTCCTCCCTTCCTCCCTCCCCCCATATCTTTGCTCACCTGCTTCTGTCTCTCTTCATTTTCTGATGGCTGCCTCAGTCACCCAAAATATCTATCCCATATATTCTCTGATTCCACCCTGGCTCTTCTAAGACAGAAGCCATGACAACCAATAGAGTGATCATAAGTGTATCAGTTGAGTACTGATGGTAGGGACTGAGAAGGGTGAGGAAAAGTTTTTATTTCTCCCTGTATCCTACAGATTGATACTCAGAACCAATTTCCATTGTGTTCTCTGAGTGTGTTTTGTTCTCTCTTCCTTCCCTCTTCTGTGGCACTATTCTGCAGAGGTGCCTATTGGCTGAACTCACCACTCAGGCTCTTTGAACAGCAACTGATGCAATTAAAAGTTTATAAAAAGAACCCTTGGAATAGCTGTGCAGCTGTCTGTAGTAATGACTTGTGGGGTGTAACAAATGATTGACTAAGCATTGGAGTATTGTGGTGGATTCTCTTGTGGTTATTTAGGGTATCTTATTTTAGCCTAAGAAGGACACAAAGCCTGATGTGTGTATCCCACAGCACAGGTGGTAAACCTGATATAGGAGGCTGCTCTTGTGTCTGAATGCCTCATGATGAGCTGTAACATGCTAGCAATGATCTGCTCACTTCAAACATTCATACCAACTTGGTTGTGTTTCTTCCTGAAATACATCTGGTCAGAAAAAAAAATGTGTTGATCTAGAGGGTTGCATGTTTTGAAAGGCAGATATATGGATTAAAAATACTGAATATCACCAAAGTTTTCTACCTATGAGGCATAGTCCAGTAGGAATAGCAGGTTTTAAGGGTGGAAATAGTGTTAGGCAAATCTATGGAATGAAGTCAGTCAATACCATTTAAAAATCAAAACAAGTTGTTGCCATGGTGTGCACCTTTAATCCCAGTACATGGGGAGCAGAGGCAGGCAGAGACCTGTGAATTGGAAGCCCAACCAGTCTACATATCAAGCTCCAGGCTAACTAGAGCTATATGGTAAGATGCTGTGTCAAAAAACGAACAAACAAAAAAGCAAACAAACAAACAAACAAAAAAACCCCAGCATCTCACTCATTCCTAGCTTTCATCATCTCTGGCAAGTGTTGGATGACAAGTTTTTGACTCACAAATTAAATAGGATTAGCTGAGGATTCAGGCTTCTCACCTGTTAAGGGAGATTAGTGGACACCTGTTTCCATCATTTTCCATTCACTCAGCTTCCTTATTAGCAGCCCTATGATAAAACATTCTTAAGATGTCTGCCCCCACCCTGATGTTAGCTAGCAATAAAAAACACTTACTCCCAGTACTTAACAACTGAATAATCTCTGAGAGTTAGTTATATTTGTGACCTCTTTGAAGAAAACCTCGGATCACCCCTCTAGTTTCAGGTCTATAAGCAGTCACTGGCACTGTCATGAGAAATTATTTTATTAAAAAATAAAATAGATTTTATTGCTCTTAATTAAGTGCCCTCTGTACTCATCATCTTGTTCTAATTGGATACCAGAAAGAATGGCTTTAAGGAATTGTAAATATACACATATATTTACAGTATGCATATATTTATAATATGTATATATTTAGAGTTCTTTATTGTAAATATCCAGATTATATGACATATATATCACATACTTTACCAATACTATGAAGAAGGTATATTTCACACAAAAATAGCTACAGAGTCACTGTGTTTTTTTTGTTTGCATTGACGAAGGGCTAAAATTTTGGCAAGTTACAGAAACCCTGTTGCCCCGTAACTTATTGTCTGTTCTTTGCTGGGAAAATGTTGAGTTGGTTCAAGCCTTCTTCTCTGGAGATCAGCTTTGCCACATCAGCTACTGGCAGTGCTGGGCACCTTGTTCTGGGTGAGCCTCTACCTCTGCCATCTGCAATGTATGAGGGACATTTTTAGCTTGGAACTTCAGACCTAACCACCCTTTCCTCGGCCTCCTGCTTCGTGGATTCCTTCCTGTTGCAGGAGTTGGAAGAAAGCCCATGGCTGTCATAGGCAAGATAACAGGCTGCAGAAAGACACTGTGTGAGCCTTGGCTGTGCCCACCATTTTGAACAGGCTGCCAGTTTTCACTCTGGAGGTTTGGCCTCAAATGTCCCCCAGACAACAAGGCTGAAAGACTGTAGGTCACACGAGCATGGTGATGGTGGGGCACAGCGGCGGAGCATGGATTTTGGAATGGCGTACACTTGGGGCAGCTCTCCTCTGCTGCTTACCATCTGTCTCTGGATCAGCTGCTTGTCTCTCCAAATTCATTTACTTTTTCTCTACATTTGCATGATCGCATTGCTCTTGTTATAAACTTATTGAGAGAAACAAAGATGATACTCTCAATCCAACTAGCAAAACATCTAGTTTATAGTGCAGCCTCTTAAAACTAGTCATTATAGGATGATTCAGGGGACAGTACTAAACAGAATCAGATTGTGTAAATCTAGCTGTAATCTGTTTAATGCATATGAGGGCCCCATGTTCAAGAGCCTTCAATCACAAGTCTCACATCAAGTTATGGTATTTCTTAAAAATTGTCATCCCTGAAAATGCAACACTTCAGGGACTTAGTGGTAGAATGCTTACTTGGTTTGTGGGGGACCCTGGGTTCAATATCAGCACTCTCCCAAAGTTAATTAATAAAAATTAAAGTAAGAAAAATGTTTATTGCTGTTTTCAAGTTCCATGATATTTGTTGTTTTGACACTGTGTGACATGTATCATGAATCAGCTGTACATGAAACAGAATCATATTCTTAGAAAGTCAGTGGAACTTTAACACCTTTTCCATTTAGTTTCTCGATGCAGATTTATACCAGTGACAACAAACAAAATACTTTGTATTTTCATTTTTTATGGTATGAAATGCAATTCCATATATGCTCTTCATTATCTTTAACTGGATCTACGTTACTATATTCAGATTCATGTCTGTCTATAGAAAGAACGTTATATTTGAAAAGGAAGCAAGATTTATGGACTGCATGGGAATGCATTGTTGCTTCTTTGGAGATGATATGATCATTTTCCTCACTCCTTATAATTCAGGTAGCTGATAAACCATCCCAGTGCTTTTCTGGGATTATTTTGTCTTTTTTCTCTTAAGCAATGGTAGGCTGAAATAAAGACATTGAAAACCTGGATGATATTAGCTTCATAAATAAATTAGTTTATGTACAAAGAAATTGAAATACTTTGTTTTGAAATATTGCAGAATTATTTCTGAGTTTTAATCCTCTGTCCTGATTGTCTAAGCACTGGCCCTTTCCTTTCACCTCTCTTTCAGGTCACTTGTTGGTTTCAAAAAACGATAAGAGATCTGCAGGAACAGAGTCTGGGTTCGTCACTTTCAGACAACAAGGAACTAATCCATAAGCATGAGGACCTGGTAGTCAGAGCTAAGGTAAGACTTAATGTTAAGTAAGTGGAAAATGCAAATAGGGTTTCTCTTGGAATATGCTTGAATCAGGGATTTATAGAGGGACCAAAAGAAAGAACCATTTGCTTTGAGTAATCCACTGATTTAATAGAAACTATCATTAGAGAATTAAGTGATATGACTGTCCACTGACTTCTAGAATAACAGTATAATAGCAGCTTGTTATTGTTGTTATTGTTCTTCTCTCTTTCCCTACCCTGTCTTTTACACACACACACACACACACACACACACACACACACACACACTGCCTCAACATTACAGAAGAACTTTGGGTGACTGTCCAGGCAGCAGGATGTCTTTGTCAATTCTAGGGTTTATATATTATCCTTCTGTGGTCTTTGATGGAGTTGAAGACAGATAGTTATGGTTATAGTTTTCCTTAGTTATGATAAAAGATAAGTTACATATAAAACTTTAAACTCACAAAGATAGGACATGAGATAGAATATTGTCAGACAGAAAAGAGGAGATGATAGAGTATGTCCTTCTGTATGTATGTTTCTCATATTGATTGATGAATAAAACACTGCTTGACCTGTAGTCAATAGAGGCATGAAGATAGGTGGAACTAGGAGACAAGGAGAATTCTGGGAAAGGTAGGCAGAGTACTCGAACAGTCACCATGTAAAGCCTTGCAAACAGGCTGTACCAGGCATTCTCTGGTAAGATAAGGCCATGTAGAAATACATAGATTAGTAGTTATGGGTTAAGTTAAGACAGAGCTAGCCAATAAGAAGCCCTAGACACTGGCCAACAGTTTCATAATATAGCATCTCTGTGTGTTTATTTGAGACCTAGCAGGACAAAGAAAATCCATAACAAGCATCTGCCCAACGATTTTCTGAGTATGAGAAGCTTAATTTAAATGATCACAGAACCCCTAAGAAGTTGATCTTTTTTTCTAATGTATTGACTGAAACAAATAAATCAAAGGCTTGGGAATAGAAAGTCACTTGATCAAAGTAGTGTTGTATCTATAGCGGAGCTGGAATTCAATTCTGTTTAATCCAAGGTCCCAGCCATTTGATACTATGCTCCATTATATTTCTAAACAATGGTTCTTTGCTGGTTTTATGGGTTTTGCTTTGGTGTCATCTGTGTACAGCATCGTCACCTTGCTGACTTCTGGACTTGGCTTCATCACTGTTCTCATTATCATTCTCCCACTTGCTCACTTGCTTTCATGTTGCCCTGCTTTGCAAGAAATCCTAGCTCCCAGACAGGCAGTCAACTGTAGTGATCTCCAGGGAACTAAATCCTCTCATGGAGACTGAGTACAGGGAATCATTGTCACAGTCCCTAGAGCATCTTGGGTGGTGAGTAGTTAGTTACAGGTTAAATGAAGTTATGAAAGTTGCAAAGCATTTGCTAGTTGGTGGCTGACAGCAAGGAAGACAAATCAAATACTCATTTGAGAGTTCATACAGGGCTTGGGGGATAGACTGTATTTATTTAAACTTAAGTAGTGTAAGGGCCATGGCACTCTGGGTTTCTTCTTGCTTGTGTTTGAATACTGCAGTATATTGTAGGACTTCAAGGGTTTAATGTCGTGTTTAACTGACTGTTAAAATATGCAGTTGCAAAAGACAACTGATCCCATAATAACTGCACAAGTTTTAAAATGTCTTTAAAATTTTCAGCTTCAGTTGCATGTTAAGGCATTTCATTGAAGTTATATATTAATTTATTCTACATTTATCAAACTTAGACTTTTTGGTGAAAAATTTTCTGTCAATATCCTCATACTTTAAGTACCAGAATGATTCAAATTGCTTAGGATAACTACCTTTAGCACAGGAACAAACACCATTAACACATAAGTTACACATACCTGGATTACAGTGACTGTACATGTGAAGTGATTCTGTTTCCTTTCAGCCCAAGGATGGTTTGGACTTCAGTCATGATGTTTGTTCTAGAATACTGTGTCTGATGTTTACAGTTCACATTTGAAACTCTGGGTGTATACGAAGAAAAGTGTCACAAGTGTGCTATGTTAGAAACAGAGGAACATGTTTGTGTCTTTCCACAATGTCAGAATTTATTGAATAAGAATAAATTGGCAAACTGTAACAATTTCAAAGACAGCAATGGGCCACATAGTCCCACTTTCCTTTGACTGAAGTGAATATTCTAATTTGATTACTAACATTAATTCTCAGATCACATCACACTACATATCACATAGCGTACATATATATCTTCATTTATGCATATATATGTTCCTGTGAATATATAATATATATTTGTTATGGAATGACTTCAAAGGTTTAAAGCAGGGGTTTCAAAGAGATTCAAGGAGGCCTGAGAAGCCAAAACTAAGAAAATGACAGGGCTTCAAGAATCTCTGTACAGATAAGATCATGCACTCAACATAGCTGGAGAAACTGTGTTGACTGTGAGTCAAGTCACTGCAAGGCCACAGGATTGAGAAAGAAGCTATGGAGTTGAGTCCAACTTCAGAGCAAAAAGGTCAGGACTGGATTCAGATGAAGGAGTGGGTGGATATCTGGATGACAGGTGAAGAGGGGTGAACAGAGGATGGACAGAAGCAAATTTGAGTAGAGAGTGTCAACAAGACCAAGCCAAGTTGAAGTCCCCAGGGCCGCTGAAAGTTTTGCACTTTGACCAGCTGTGAGTTTCTAGTTAATGACCATCCGTTGCACAAAGAACCTCTATGAATAGGTCTAAGAACTGTTCTAATTTGCATGTAGGAAGATACAAATTTAGAGATCATTTTGTTATCTTATAAAATATTAGTAGTAAATTTACTTGGTGGTTGTAAACTCCTCAAACCCTGGGCTCTTGGCCAAATTTGTAATACCAGGAATATGCTTCCTCTTATAAAGTTGGTCTTAAGTCTAATCATAAAGTGGTTGGTTACCCCTATAACATTCATACCAATATTGCACCCATGGACACAACTTACCACATTATTGCAGTTCACAGAGCTCACAACTTGTTAAGACTGTTGATGTTTCCTGCCAACCCCAGCAGCCTGCATAGCTCTTTTCAGTATATCCAACTCATAAAGTTCTCCCCAGGATATTTACAGTTTGGAAATCCATGTTATTCTATTCCAGATAGCCGTATGCCTCTGACACTACTGTGTTACTTTTCCTGGGGGGATATAATGCCATTCCATCACAGTTCATCTTGGTGACCAATGAGCTTATTAGGATTACTTACAGAATCATAGGTGAGGGTTATCTATAGGTGCATGGATGACTCTGGGGCAATTTAATCACTGGAAAGTACACCCCAGGATGAGTGATGACTCATGAAAGCTTCCTCCCTGAAGTCCCAATCCCAGTCAACCTTCTACTTCCTATTTACTCTTACATGCCCAGCCCAGTACCCAACTGGGGAAGAATGGCATTCAGCTGGGGGAGGTAACAGAACTGAGTGGTTAGGATCTCAGGAGAGGGTCTAGTGATCTTCTCTGTCTCCTAGAAGGCCTTATCTCATCAGGATCCCTTTCATGTAATCACAACCACTCTTGTTTTACAATGGTTATGACATGGCTGGAGGACTGAGTTCTAGTAGACTCAACCTTCGTAGGGCTCCCAGTTGAAGGGACTGCAACTCTCTCTAGCTTTTACATGCCCCCTAATGCCTTACCCAAATCATTGGCCATACAGAAAGGACAAGCTCCCCAGTCTATGATACCCAGATCAAAATGAAACTACGAAGACTTTTCTGTACAATTTACTAGAAACCAGCTTCGTGATACCAGGACATCTAGTCTGGAATGGGTCCTTCTAAGCACAGGACCAGAGAGGTCAGCCAGTTAGCTGACCAGAGCAGGCCCATGCATAGTGTTAGATGTGCTTGGGGACACTGTACCCTTTGGCACTTCGAGATTTTCCTCAACCACCTTGTTCACCTTCAGTTTTTAAGGACACGTGGAGTATAGAAAAGAGGACCATTGAAACGTAATATCCATAGTTCTTTTCTAATTCTTTCTCCCCCATACTCCTGAGTGGACTATGTTCTGAGTGAAGTGAAATTGAAGATGACTATCATGTATCTACCTACATGAAACACCAAAACCAAAGTACAACAAAAACAGTTTTGAAATTCCTGCTGTGTAATCACTCAGAACATTGGATACACTTCTCTGTACCTCATTTTTAGAGGACACTTAGGAATCCCTAGAGACAACATTTGTGCAAGCACTTACGTGTAAGTAGTAGCCCCAAAATGTTGTTTACTTTTCTGTCCATCAGGCAAACTTACAGACAGTTTTTATGGTAGTTTGAATGTAATTGACCCCCATAAGCGTATAGGAGTGGCACTATTAGGAGGTGTGGCTTTGTTGGAGTAGGTGTGGCCTTGTTGAAGTATATCACTGTTGGAACAGGCTTTGAGGTCTCCTATGCTCAAGATATGCCCACTGTCTCAGATTACTGCCTGTCACCTGTGGGATCAAGATGTAAGAACCCTCAGCTCCTTCTCCAGCAACATGACTACCTGATGCCACCTTGTTTCCTGCCATGACCATAATGGACTAAACCTCTGAACTGAAAGCCAGCCCCAATCAAATGCTTTCCTTTATAACAGTTGCCATGGTCATGGTGTCTCTTCACAGTAATAAAAACCCTAAGGAAGACAGTTTCACCTATGGGTTTTCAATAATCTTATTTCTCTGAGACAGAATTCAAATTTTTATGTATCCCAAATAGGAAGCAGCATGCTGCACTCTGGACCCATGTTTGTGTGCAGCCTTGAGGAGAGGGATGGGGATGTCACTGTCAAAGAGAATTGATCAGAAATAAGGCATCAAGTGGGAGTCATTACTGAAACTCATGGGAGCAATAAGGGCACAGGGAAGGCAGGTGTCTGTGTTTCCCACAGTGGGACCAACCAGCAGGGGGCTGGATAGCATGGGTTGTCAGTCTTGCTGGCCTTTTCTAAGCAAACTGCAGAAATAAGTCCATTGTTTCTTGCTGGAATACATT